ATGATACCGTTATGAATTATAGCATAAGCTTTGGCATCTAGAGTCAAACAATCGAGTTACTAATATTTTTGAAGATTATTTTTGATTTTGAATCAATCTCAAGAATACTTCTAAATAAGCCATAGGTGCGATCAAAAATGCTTTCAAATAGAATTTGATTAGTATTGATCACGTCATTGAATTTAATACAGATATTTTAAGAGCTGGGCTCAATAAGGATATGATAAGATGTTATATATTTCTCATTTCAATCAGCTTATTCATAAAAGATTTTTCCCAAAACAATGAGAAAACGAGTAACATTTTGTCGTAGTTTATAACGAAAAGTGTAAAATAGAAGAAATATTTCATCAGTAAGAGCATTAATAATAAGCATTGATAAAGGGTTGATAATTTCAAATAGTCTTGACACGTTAACCACTACTTTACATTGAAACAAGTGCCTTTGTGTCACAGGTACGTGGTGGATTTCAAGGAAAGCCATATATATTTCCATATTGACAATCCAGCCAAGGGATGTGACAGGAAAATGCCTGGGCTTCCTCAAATTAATATCTGCCCTTTGACCCAAGGGCAATGATGAGAATGTGGCGTTGTGGGTACTATGTCTAGATTATACTCTAAACTATTATGGTTCGAGTCCCGCTTGGGAGGCAAGGTCAAAGCTACTGTACACCCTGTATCAGAATAGCATTTGCGAAACAAGGCTATGTAAAACTCATGGAAAACGTATGGTATACTAATATGGTTGTTTAAAATTCAACCACTAATCCTTGATCAACCTAAATAATACTGAATAAGCACATTTTATATATAGGTGTACCCTTTGCACAAGTGCTTTGCATATATACTGCAAGCCTTCGCAATCCCAACATTCTCATCATCCCAACATCGTCCTCATACTATTCTATGACCGATTCTGAATCGTTTTAGAATCTTGCAAACACATTTCACATTGTGGAGACGAGCTACATCCTTCTTGAACATATGATTTAATCCATGTCTATGAACTTGAATATACTATTAGATAATCCTTGGCCTCTAGAGGATATTGAAGTTTGCATCTTGCTCAGGTTTCATAGATTCACTAGCGGCGTTATATCAAGATTGACTGATAAATATGAAAGCTTCAATAGCTCTTTATATTAATGTAGTGTATTCTAATGACAAATACAACTCCACCTTGAAGGCACAAGACCAGCTATAAATGTGAAGTTGGACTTACCTGGCTTGTCATTAAAGCTACATCTCTCCTGTCACGAACTGGCACTGGTGTGTTGTGTAGCTGAGTGCTAAAGCACGCACCAACTTCGAGTAGCGTGGGGTTGGCTAATGAAGCTCAAGTGAGATCAAAACTGCAGTCCAGCATAGCTACGATTGTCTCTTGAGGACAACACTAAATCTTCTATTAATTAGAATATATTAAAATCAAATATTAGTCCTTATATTACTATATTTGGCCCAAGTTCATCTTAAATCTCCCCTGTTGATGTATAAGACTGCTGTCATGTTACCTAAATAACCAACTTATTGGGAAAACTCTCGGTTAATTTAAAATTTATATTTTCCATATTTATGCATTATAATATTATAATCCTCAGCTTTTAGTATCATATACAATTTGGCAAATGCAACTTGCCAAATTAAAATTTGAATTAATATTTTTTTCGTATATAAGCCGAGCTCCGAGACTACCATTAAATCAATAATAAGAAATGTATTCACCCTATTTCTTTTAAGATGATGAAGGACTGATAGTAGAATTTTCCCACAATGATATGTATAGAACTGACGTTTCTATTGAATTTCACATAGCTATGCTTTCTGATATTTTCTCCTATAGTACAAGTGGCGAATGCTTAATATACGCAACAGAGTATGACAATCCTTCTTCTGGCTCCAATTATTCCAATGGAACTATATAAAAGAATCAGTACGCGAATAAAAAGAAGTATATTTTTTGTATTCGAATTCACCTTCTCATTTCATAAAGAGCTTGCTGAATCGAAAAGTATCGTTTGCTCGAGAGTTGACGAGATCAAATAAGCCTGAGATGGGCAACTGGAAATTGGGTCTTTATTCAAAAAAGAAAAGGGAGCAAACACTTTACCAATTTTAGCAGAACAGAGCTAAACCAAATTGAACGAAACTGGTAGACAATCAGTCTGTCCTGGTCAGGTCCTTTTGAGCCATTTGCTGAATGGAACGCTGAGATATGGAAGGAAGCTTAGCAAATAAGAAAAGACCGATCGGACTCTGGTTGTCGAAGGGAAGGCAACATTGCAGGATAAGTTAACATGCGTAGAATGAACGATGACTGTCTTGAGGTAAGGTTGAATCCAAAGACACACTTGGTTTTAAGTCTTGCTGATGAAGGTAGGGGCTAAAATTAAGGATTCCTCAGCCGTCAATTATTTCAGATAGCCGGTCTACTTCAAGCCTTACTTCGGCAATATGCAGGGATCTGCGCCGGAAGGGAAGGCTTAAGAAGAAGGGGTAAGCAATGAAGTTTGTTGAATAAGAAGTTGGAAACGAGGTTTATAGTTAGATAAAGGGAAAGCAGATTAGTATTGTGAAGCTTGCCTTGATGCTTTTTGCGCAGAATTCAGGAAAGTGGACACGCTCGGCTACTTGAAGCCTGGTTAGAGCCGCATTTGTTCTATCAAGTCAAGTTATAGATTTGAAGGTAATTTGAAAGGTAGGGTCACAGAAATATGCTGAAGAAGGAAAAGGATTTGATCTTTAGGCAGTACAATGTGCTAGGCTTCGAGTAACACAGGACAGGAGCGTACAGTGGCAGCCTACCAGAAGGCTCTAATAGGGCCTCTCTTCCAGAATCTGCGTGCTCCACTTCGCTTCCAAAATCTGCGGCCTCCACCTCGCTTCCAAAAACGGCGACCGCCTCGTTTCCAAAAGTGGCGGACTCCGCGTTTTTCCAGTTCTCCATCGACATCGTCAATCGGAATTAGATCAGTGAATCCAGCCGCCTCGTCATCAGGCTCCAGATCACCAGTCTGTAGCAGTGCCAGCTCCTCGTCATTCTCAAACAATCGGCCGTGCATAAGAGGTTCAGGGTGATTATGGAGGCCCATTTCGGTCTTGGACAATGGGCTTGAAGTGGCCTCAACCTGGCCTACTGACCCGCAATTAACGAAAAACAAGAGGCTGGCATGCAGGCAAACTAGAATCAGAGAGATTGGGCTCAATGCTCGAAGACCTGGGGAAGACATCTTGAAGGTACGGATATTACGATGCGAAACTTGCTTATAGAAAAGATGAAACTGTATTCGTTAAAAGTATGGGAAGAAAGAGTTCACGAGCTTCTTGAGCTTGATGAACTTTAGTTGGTTTGGCGATTCCTGCCTTGGAGATGAGTCTGTCTTGAAGAGACCCCCTTAAAACACAGCGCTAGGAGCGGCTGAGCTCAACTGGCTTATATATATTTGTCGGGTGGATTGGCCAGGTATATCAGGAAATTAATCCTGCTCTCATTCTGTTGGCTCTTAACACCCCCTCAATAAGCGACACACATATATATATATATATACATACATATAGATATTCACTTTAAATTTCCTCTTTATGCCGATACATTTTTCATTCATTCGCCTTCACTGTTCATATATGTATATTTAGTTGTATGTCTCTCTTCCTAGCCATGAAGCCTCGTCCACGTTTCAAGAAGACGTGTCAAAATTTTAGCCATTTTGTGGCTCGTTCTAAACGCTGTTGCGTATATTGAATATTCATCATTTGCCAAAAGCTGATAGATAGTTTGGGGAGACAGGTGCTATCAACCTTGCACGTTTGTAGGTACGTGTGCGCAAGTAGAAACGCACGAGTTTTTTGCATGCACACAAGCATAATGCGACATGACTCCGGCACACTGAAATAGCAAAGCGGAATTGTTCTCTATCTTGTCCTCTAAAATGGGTAAGA